CAGATCTCAGCCTCCTGAGTAGCTAGGATTACAGGCGTGAGCCACCAGCACCGGGCTCCCGGAAATAATTTTTTAAACCTTGTGATTATATTATGTTGTTTTTTAAAAAAGGTAATTTATTTGTTTATTTTGTAGAAAGTAAACTCCTTTGAGACGTTAACAGTGTATCTTCCAGAGCAGGCTTAGGCATATTGCTCAGTTAGAAGGTATCATTTTTCTTTTTCCTTCTAAAAGGACAAAAATCACTGAAGGTAGTTTTGGCATAAAGCCATCTTTTTCAAAACTGTGATAGAAATAACTTTATATATATATTTTTTTTTTCTTTTCTTTTTTCTTTTTCTTTGTTCCAGTCTTGGGGCTTGACCTCAGGGCCTAGAAACTATCCCTGAACTTTTTCACAAAGGGATAGCACTCTAACACTTGAGCCACTGCTTGACTTTCAGCTTTTGGGGTGTTGATTGGAAATGAGAGTCTTGTGGACTTTCCTGCCCAAGCTGGCTTTGCACCATAATCCTTATATCTCAGCCTCTTAAATAGCTAGGATTACAGATGTGAGCACCTGGTACTTGGCATTAAATATACTTTTTTTTTTTTTTCTGTTGGTCAGAAGGCTTGAACTCTGGGCCTAGGCCCTGCCTTGTCCCTGAGCTCTTTTGCTCAAGGCTAGCATTCTACAACTTTAAGTCACAGCACCATTTCTGGTTTTCTGATGGTTAATTAGATATAAAAGTCTTACAGACTTTCCTGTATAGGATGGCTTTGAACCACAGTCCTCAGATCTCAGCCTCCTGAATAGCTAGGATTACAGGTATGAGCCACCAGGACCCAGCTCAATATACTTTCTATAGAGATTAAAGATGAGGGCTGGGATGTAGCTCAGTGGCAAAGTGCTTGCCTAGTAAGTGCAACGTCCTGGGTTCAATCCCCAGTACCAAAAAAAGGAAAAGACCAAAAAAAAAAATACAGTTAAAGATCAGCTTTTCCAGGCCCTGGTGGCTTACTCCTGTAAATCCTAGCCACTCAGGGGGCTGAGATATGAGGATCTTGGTTCAAAGCCAGCCCAGGCAAGAAAGTCCATGAGACTCTTATCTCCAATAAACCACTCAGAAAACTGCAAGTGGCACTGTGGCTCAAGTGGTAGAGCACTAGCCTGGAGCTGAAGAGCTTAGGAACAGTGCCCAGGACCAGAGTTTAAGCCCCACAACCAACAAAAAAATAAAAAAGACCAGCTTTCTAATTACTACGGAAAATGCCTTGTGTTGTTTTCATTTTATTTGTTATACTTATCAAAGCTAATTGAATCAAATGATTGATTATTGGAATGTAGACTATTGTTACGATTTTTGTATTCCAAATTTAATCATGTTATGCTAGAAAATAAAGATGTTATATATTTAAATATCTATTTTTTTTGGGGGGGGGTCCAGCCGTGGGCCTTAACTCTGGGCCTGGGCACTATTCCTCAGCTCTTCAGCTCAAGGCTAGCACTCTACCACTTGAGCCACAGCACCACTTCCGGCTTTTTGTTTTCTGCTTATGTGGTGCTAAGGAATCGAACCCAGGGCCTCATGCATGCAAGGCAAGCGCTCTACCACTGAGCCACCTTCCCAGCCCTAAATATCTATCTTTAACAGTTTATATTTTCTTTCTTTTTTTTTGTTGGTCGTGGGGCTTGAACTCTGGGCCTTGGCCCTGTCCCTCAGCTCTTCAGCTCAAGGTGAGCGCTCTACCACTTGAGCTACAGCGCCATTTCTGGTTTTCTGGTGGTTTATTGGAGATAGGAGTCTCATGGTCTCTCCTGCCCGGGCTGGCTTTGAACCACGATCCTCAGATCTCAGCCTCCTGAGTAGCTAGGATTACACGCGTGAGCCACCAGTGCCCGGCTACAGTTTATATTTTCTAGAAATTCTTTTTTTTTGTTTTATTTTCTGGTGATTTATTGGAGATAAAGAGCTTTATGAGGGGCTGGGAGTATGGCTCAGTGGTAGAGCGCTTGCCTTGCATGCATGAGGCCCTGGGTTCGATTCCTCAGTACCATATAAACAGAAAAAGCCGGAAGTGGCGCTGTGGCTCAAGTGGTAGAGCACTAGCCTTGAGCTGAAGAGCTCAGGGACAGTGCCCAGGCCCAAAGTTCAAGCTCCATGACCAGAAAAAAAAAAAAAAAAAAGTCATGATCTTTCTTTCCTGGGCTGGCTTTGAACCACGATCCTCAAATCTCAGCCTCCTGAGTAGCTAGGATTACAGGAGTGAGCCACTTTCTCAGCCCTAAACAATGATATTTTTGTTTGTTTGTTTTTTGGGTCTGGTCATGGGGCCTGAACTCTGGGCCTGGGCGCTGTTCCTCAGCTCTTCAGCTCAAGGCTAGCGCTCTACCACTTGAGCCACAGCACCACTTCTGGCTTTTGGTAGTTTAGTAGGGATAAAATTCTCACAGACTATCCTGCCCAGGCTGGCATTGAACCATCATCTTCTGATCTCAGCCTCCTGAGTAGCTGGGTTTACAGGTAGAGCCACTGGTGCCTGACTCCAGCCTAGCTTTTGTTGGTTATTTTGGAGATGGAGTCTCGAAGACATTTCTTTCTGGACTGATTTTGAACTACTAACTTCAGATCTGTCTTCTGAGTAGCTAAGATTACAGGCATGAGAGACAGACACCTAGATATGTCAGAGTATTTCTAGTTTGGGGGGGAAATGCTGTTTTTTGTTTTTTCTTTTTGGCAGTATTAGGGTTTGAACTCAGTTCCCTAGGTGGTCACCACTTGAGCCACTCCATAAGCTTGTTTTCTGTTGGTTATTTTTGAGATAGGGTCTCACTCTGTGCCCAGTTTGACCTGGATTGTGATCTTCCTATTTGTTCTGCCATGCATTGCTGTGATGATAGACATGTGCCACTGTATCTAGTCATTCCCCAGTAGCTTGAGATGACAAGCACCCAACCATTAGTCAAGACATAATCTTATAGCTGTGTACTAGTAGATTCATGCCACTTAGCTATTCAGGAAGCTGAGATCTATGGGTCAAGGTTCAAAGCCAGCCTAAGCAGAAAAGTCCATGAGATTCTTTTTTTTTTTTTTTGTCGGTCGTGGGGCTTGAACTCTGGGCCTGGGCGCTGTCCCTCAGCTCTTCAGCTCAAGGCGAGCGCTCTACCTCTTGAGCTACAGCGCCACTTCTGGTTTTCTGGTGGTTTATTGGAGATAGGAGTCTCATGGTCTCTCCTGCCCGGGCTGGCTTTGAACCGCGATCCTCAGATCTCAGCCTCCTGAGTAGCTAGGATTACAGGCGTGAGCCACCAGTGCCCGGCTAAGTCCATGAGATTCTTATCTCCAATTAACCACCAAAAAGCTAGAAATAGAAGTGTGCTTCAAGTGGTAAATCACGTTTTTTGGTCCGATTGTGGGGCCTGAACTCTGGGCCTGGGCACTGTCCCTCAGCTCTTCAGCTCAAGGCTAGCGTTCTACCACTTGAGCCACAGCACTACTTCCTGCTTTTTTCTTTTTGCTTATGTGGTGCTAAGGAATCGAACCCGGGGCCTCAAGCATGCAAGGCAAGCGCTCTACCACTGAGCCACCTTCCCAGCCCTCACCATTTATTTTTTATTTATTTATTTTTTGGTCATAGGGCCTGAACTCTAGGCCTAGGCACTGTCCCTTGGCTCTTCAGCTCAAGGCTAGTGCTCTACCACTTGAGCCACAGCGCCACTTCTGGCTTTTTCTGCTTATGTGGTACTGAGGGATCAAACCAGGTCCTCATGCATGCGAGGCAAGCACTCTACCACTGAGCCACCTTCCCAGCTCCAGTAAATCACCATTTTGAAGTGGAAAAAGCTAAGGGAGAGTTCCAGGCCCTTAGTTTATACTGGTACAAAAAAGAAGTAAATAGGGCTGATAATGTAGCTTAGTTGTAGAGTGCTTGCCTAGCATGCATGAAGCTCTGGGTTCAATTCCTCAGTATCACATAAACAGAAAAAGCCAGAAGTGCTACTGTGGCTCAAGTGGTAGACTAGTCTAGCCTCGAGCAAAAGGCGCTCAGAGACAGTTCCCAGGCCTTGAGTTCGAGCCCCAGGACTGACAGAAAAAAGAGAAGTAAATAAGTTTTAAAAAAGATAAGAGTTAGGGCAAACGTTTCTGGTCCAAGCTGGTCTCAAAACATGATCCTTCATCTATGCCTCCTAAACAGGTAGGATTTTAGGTTTGAAACCCTATTCCACCAAAAATATTTATGTTATCTGACCAAGATTACATAAGAAACCAAAATTAAGATGCATAGCTTCATTTTAGTTTTTTAGCTGTAGTGATAGGTAAATGTGCAAAACAAGAAAATTACTTTTTTTTCCTTTTTTTTTTGCTGGTCGTGGGGCCTGAATTCTGGGCCTGGAAACTATCCCTCAGCTCTTCAGCTCAAGGCAAGCATTCTACTACTTGGGCCACAGCGCCACTTCTGGCTTTTTCTGCTTATATGGTGCTGAGGAATCGAACCCAGGGCCTCATGCATGCAAGGCAAGCACTCTACCACTGAGCCACTTTCCCAGTCCTTTTTTCCTATTTTTTTTTGTGTGTGTTTTTAATGCTAGTGATGCAACCTAGAGCCATGTGCATGCTAAGGAAGCACTTTACCACTGAACTACATCTTTGGCCCCTCTTCTTCCCTCCTTGCTAAATCCTCCATAAATATTAAATGAATTATGGAGGAAAGAAAATAATTTTTAACTATTTCTCTTTAAACTTGGAAATACTCTGGCAATTTTTTTTTCTGTTGTGATAGCTTGAATTCATAGCTTGCTTGGCATGCTTGCTTATGGCTGGTAATCTACCAGTTCAGCTATGCCTCTAGTCCATTTTTTTTGCTAGTTGATTGTAGATGGAATCTTACGGATTTTTTTGTCCCGGCTAGCTTTGATCCACAATCTTTCAATCTTATGGCTAACAGGAGAGACGTGCAGCATGCTTCCTCAGCTCTCTGAGAATGCTCTACAGACTGTCATTCTCTTGGTTCAACTAATGTTGGCATTGCATGATTCTTTCCAGTGTGGCCTTCTTTTGTGTACAGTCCCTGGGCTATCCAGGCAGCAATGTGGCCAAAGTAGTGGGTAACAACTTTTACAGGGAATATACAATGCAAACCCTGTGAGTTTGTGTATCTTGGTTACTAGAATCTTGGACAGATGTTCTAGCCAGCTTAATATCATTTACAGGAACTTTTTTTTTGGGGGGGGGTGGGTTGGTGTTGGGGCTTGAACTCAGGGCCTGTGCATTGTCAATAAGCTCTTTTGCTCAAAGCTAGTGCTCTACCACTTTGAGCCACAGCTTCACATTTGGTTTTCTGATAGTTAATTGGAGATAATAATCTCATAGACTTTTCCTACCTGGGCTGGCTTTGAATCACTATCCTCAGATCTCAGCCTCTTGAGTAGCTAGGATTACAGAAATGAGCCATCAGCGTCCAGCAGAACTTTTTTTTTTTTTTTAAATGAATCTGTATTTAGATAGAACTTAGAAGAGTCACTGTCTCTATTCTATTGAGCACCAGTTGGGGACACTTGAAATCAGAGGGCTAAGCTGGGAGTGGTGAAACATACCTGCAATTTCAGCACTCAGGTGGTTAGCCAGGGCTTCATAATAAGATCCTCTGTCAAAGAAAAAGATAAAAGAAAACATTAGGGGTTGGAATTCCTGAACACTGGTTCATGCATATGTCTGGGGGCTTACCTCTATGTATCTGACTTCTCTGACTTCTCTATTCTGACAAGTCCTTGGCCTTGTCATAATATCACACCTAGTGTCTTGAGAAAGAACCAAGTAGAAGCTGAATTGCCTTCTCTAATAAAGTAGAAACCAGTCACTAAGGGACTCCTTTTCAAAGAGTGTGATGTATTAGATTCCACCTTTGGTTGAGAAGAACATCAAAACTTGCAGCCATGTTTCTAAAACCATCTCATGAGTTTTTATTTGTTTTATGATTTAGAATAGCTATTACCCTTTTCTGGAACATGCTTATCTAATTCTCAACTGGAGCAGCTATAAATAAGGGAAGTAGTCCCCCCAAATCAATGTTGGAAGACTGTGGAGCTGTTTATTATTGGTTCATTTGGAAATGTGAGGAAAGTAATTTTTTTCGTTTGACTGATGTTGGTCATGAACTCCAGTGTTCAACTTGAAAGGTGTTAAGGGGAAACATGAAGCAGGAAATTTTACAAAAGGAATACAGGGATATGAACAGAAAAAAAAAAAAAAACAAAGCTGAGATACTCCAGTCTCAAGGATCTTATCCTGGGTAGTTTGGGTGAATCTATATACCTCTCGCTGAAGGCAGCTTTAAATGTGTGTATACATATACCTCTGGAGAATGCCTCCTGGGAGGCCATTTCCCAGAGGAGGCCTAGATACTCAGCTCCGGAAGGCAGATTTAGCTATTCTCTTCAGCCTCTTTGGTGCAGGCTGATATAACATCTTCTGGACTCTGCTGTGTGGAAACAGGATGCATGTGTACTTACTGAGTGCTTTTACATGATCTCTGGAGAATTTTGAGATGCATATGGATATATCAATATGGATATGCTTTGAGTTTAATCTGTGCAAAAAATCCTATTGTTGTTTATAACATTTATTTTTTTCCCCCAAAGCACAAAGATTGTGTGGTTCCTTACCTTCTTCGACTTCTCAGAGGTCTTCCAAAAGTGTACTGGGTTGAAGAAAGCACAGCTCGGAAAGGCAGAGGTAATTTCATATAATGTGTTCTCTGAATGCAAGGACAAATAGATTCAGCATCTTTAAGGATCAAGTGTTGCTTTATATTAATGCACCAGTTAAAACAGGTTTAACTGCTCTCATTCCTAGCTGCGTAACTACTCACTGCTTGTAGCATGTGGGCTGAGTGTCCTGTTGTCAAGAGCCAAGGCAGGGAGAAGGCATGCCTGGCTGCAGCTTTTTTTTTTTTTTTTTGCCTCTTCTGAAAGAGCAACCTTTTCTCATATACCATTGGCCAGAATTGACTATATGCCCATTGTCCGACCAGTCATATTGTCCTTAGACACGTGTTCTAAATAGATGGTGTAAACTCAGAAAGTACACTATAAATAGTTTTTTTATTTTGGTGCTATTAAGTTTTAATTAAACTTTGCATCTTTAGAAATGGACTAATTCCATGTATATTTCTGTTCAACTGGTATTTTATTTAGAGACAAAGTGAGATAGTTTTTGTTCCTCCTCTTCTCCATTGCTCTCCTTCTTTATTTTCCTACTTCTGAAATATTCACATGTGTTTACTGTGTGCCAAGTATTGTACCAAGAAAACACTTAGAACTCAGATGTTCTTATACCAATTTCCAAGGCTCTAAAATCAGGTTGGCATACCTCTAACGTTTTAAATCTCTGAAAGGCTTATTGTATTTTGGATGTAGCCATAAAGTGCCACTTGTTAGCTGTGGAAGTGGCTCAGTGATACAGTGTTTGTGAAATAAGCACAAGACCCTACTTTGGGCCCAGTGCTGTTAAAAAGAAGAAGAAGAAGTAGTAGAGGGACAGAGACAGACACTTCTTTCTCATTGGTAGCATTGGCATAATTTGTTAGGTAGGCTAATGACCTATTTTGCTGGTATAAACATCCTCCTGTGACTATATTCCTCTTTATCTTTGCTTTTCAGTATTTCCAGTGACCTGCCATGCCTAAAACTCATAGATCCCAAATTGTATGTCTTCCATGATTTGAAGGAATATAGATTAAATAGAGTGCCATTACCTAAAAGTTGGATGACTGTCTCCAACATTGTTTCACATAATTTGAAGACAAGTGGACACAAGTAGTTTTTTGTTTGTTTTTGTGCCAATTCTTTTTTGTTTTGGTCAGTCATGGGGCTTGAACTCTGGGCCTGGGCACTATCCCTCAGCTCTTCCGCTCAAGGTGAGTACCCTACCACTTGAGCCACAGAGCTAATTCTGGTCTTCTGGTGTTCAATTGGAGATAAGAGTCTCATGGACTTTCCTGCCCAGGCTGGCTTTTAACCACGGTCCTCAGATCTCAGCCTCCTGAGTAGCTAGGATTACAGGCCTGAGCCACTGGTGCCCAGCTTTATTTTTGTGCCAATTCTGAGGCTTGAATTTAGGGCCTTAGCTTTTTTTTTTTCCAATCTTATTTTATTTTATATTTTTCTTTTTTGTCAGTCCTGAGGCCTGAGCACTATCCCTGAGCGTCTTTTGCTCAAAGCTAGCACTCTTACCACTTGAGCCCTTCTGGCCTTTTCTGTTTATGTGGTACTGAAGAATTGAACACAGGATTTCATGCATGCTAGGAAAGCACTCTACCACTAATCCACATTCCCAACCTCCCCCTGGTGCTTACCACTTCTTTCATTTTGGTGGTTAATTGAAGAGTTTCATGAACTGTACTGCCTGGGATGGCTTCAAACTGAGATCCTCAGATCTCAGCCTTCAAAGTAGCTAGAATTAGAGTCAGAAGCCACCAGCAGCTATGAGTGGGTTTTAGTTACAAAACAAAGATAATTTTTATATGCATGAATTTATGTTAGAATGAACAACATTATTTAGAATACTGTTAGGATAAATAATTTTCCAGAATTTGTATGTATATGTGCTGAGGATGGAACCCAAGGATTTATATGCCAAACATGTTCTACCACTGAGTTACGCCATCTGCTCTTTCAAGTTTCCTATTTGGAAGCAGTAATTTATTTAGTTTTTTTTCTTTTCGCTTTTGTTTTTCAAGGTGGTATTACTCTGTTAAAGTCTAGAACAGTATTTCTCAGCATCAGCATTACCTAGTAACATGTTTGAAATGCACATTTTCAGACTCTGTGTAAGAGCTACTAACTTGAAACTCTGGAAATGGGACATGGATGGTCTGAGTTTTAACAAGCCTCCAGTGAATCTGACATGTACAAGATAGAAGATCTAGGATTGCATTTTAAAACTGTTTTTTTGGGGGGGGGGTGGGGTACTGAGGTTTTGACTTTTTTGCTTAAAACTGGCACTTTTTCACTTGAGCCACAGCTCTACTTTCAGCTTTTTGGTGGTTAATTGAAGATAAGAATCTCACAGACTTTGCTGTCTGGACTGGCTTTGAACCATGACCCTCAGATCTCAGCCTTCTGAGTAGCTAGGATTACAGGAGAGAGCCGCCAGCACCTAGTTCATTTTTAGTCATTTAGATTAACACTCCCCTCAGCCTGTAGGGCTCTTCTAATAGCCTCATTGCTAAGAGGATTAGCACTGGGAGAACTAAAAGCTTATGAGGCGTGGCTGAGGTATAAATCACTTATAGAGGATGTGCTTAGCATGTGTAAGGCTCTGGATTCAATTCCCAAGAATCAAAAACATAAAATAATTTTTAAAAAGAAGGTTTTAAAGAATAAGGAAAAAGTTTGGAATCTATAATTTTCCCCATTTGCCAAAACAAAGCAGAAAAGAAAATATAAGCATACTGTTCTCTTTTAAAATAATATGAAGCCGAGCGACTGGTGGCTCACGCCTGTAATCCTAGCTATTCAGGAGGCTGAGATCTGAGGATCACAGTTCAAAGCCAGCCCGCCCAGGAAAGTTCATGAGACCCTTATCTCCAATTAAATACCAGAAAACCAGAAGTGGCACTATGGTTCAGTTGGTAGAGTGCTAGCCTTGAGTAGAAGAGCTGAGGGACAGCGCCCAAGCCCAGAGTTCAAACCCCATGACCAAAACTAAAATAAAATATTATTGATATGCATTTGACAGTTGTCTTTCAGATGTGCCAATCAGTCTATCAAGATTGATTTCTCACTTTTATTTAGGAAGTAAGAAGTAGACACTGCTTTGTGAGAAGCTGTAATCTTAAACTATAAATTGACTCACGAAGCATTTAAATTTATTGAACCAAAACATCTTATTAAAAAAAGAAAGGTAGAGGTATGTCTAAGCAAACATGTGGCCATATTTGTTTTATTGAGACTCAGTGAGGCCAGACAGTAGAAGCTAGTCCCCTAGCAGGCCGTGTAAGAGAGGAATATAGTTAATTGGATGGCCAGCATGTTGACCCAGTATCTTGTTTCTGATAGTCTGATTCATGTCTTCACATCTCCCAGGCGCCCTCCCTGTTGCAGAGAGCTTCAGCTTCTGCCTGGTAACTTTGCTGTCTGATGTGGCTTTTAGGGACCCTTCACTTAGGGATGAGGTAAGTATATGGGATTTTGTGCATGGCTATTAGACTAAAAAGAATCTCGAAGTGATTGTTTGTGTTGATTTTTTTCTATGTTAATGGTAGACCTAGGAACTGTTTCATACTTGCTTTTCAATTTAGAGTGTTTGTCAGAATCTCATGAGTCTTTTTTTTTCTTTTAAATTTTTTGTTATTATAAAGGTGCTGTACAAAGGGGTTATAGTTAAATAAGTCAGGTAAAGAGTACATTTCTTTTTGGACAATTTCACCCCTTCCTTTGCTCTCTCACAGTTTTCCCTCCCATCCCCGCCCACAAGTTGTATAGTTCATTCAACATAATGTCTAGCGCTGTATTTGTTGTTCAACTGTTGTCCCTTCATTTCTGTGCTCCCTTTACCCTTCCAAAGACAGACAAAGGAAAAAACAAAACAAAAAGAAAAGGAAACAAAAACAGCAACAAAGAAAAAACTTATTTCAATTTCCTGGAGTTCATTTCAATAAATACTGTTTTATATGATCAAATGCACATAGGCAATTGCACTTTTGTGTTCTGTTCCTAAGAGTATCCTTCATGAATCTTTTATTCAACATTCCTCAAAGCCCTGTAAGGCAGGCAGAAAAAAGATAGTAAAAGCTTATTTCCTTCTAGATAGACATTGTTCACAGAAGAGCATTTGTTATGTTGCCAAAGCTTTTTACCTTTGAGTACTTACTTGCTTGGAAGTATTGTTAACATGTAGTTCATACTTATTTTTAAAGAAAGAATAAGAACTAGGCCTGTGTAATTCCAGGTATTATGTAGAGATAGAGAAGGTCTTAGTTTGAGTCCAGTCTAAGCAAAAAGTTGGCAAGACCCCATCACAACAAATAAGCTAGGTGTGATAAGTCATGTCTGTACTGAAGATTAGGTAGAATGATCTTGGTCTGAAGCCAGCCAGAGCAGAAAGCAAAAGACCCTATCTGAAAAAATAACTAAAGCAGGGGCTGGGAAGGTGGCTCAGTGGTAGAGTGCTTGCTTTGCATGCATGAGGCCCTGGGTTCAATTCCTCAGCACCACATAAGCAGAAAAAGCCAGAAGTGATGCTGTAGCTCAAGTGGTAGAGCGCTCGCCTTGAGCTGAAGAGCTGAGGGACAGCACCCAGGCCCAGAGTTCAGGCCCCACAACCAGCAAAAAAAAAAAAAAAACAAAAAACAAAAAACTAAAGCAAAATGGGATGGAAACAGAGGCTCTAAGTCATTGAGTATTTTCCTAGCAAGCATGAGTCAGTGAATTCAGGTCCCAATACTATTCCCTGCCCCCCCCCTCAAAAAAAAAAGCAGGTGAGAAAGAATACCATCACAGTTGAAGTTTTTTCTTAATTTGATTTATGATTTAAGAAAAATGGTAAATGGAACTAGGGCTTTTTAGTTGTAAAAGGAGATAATTTGGAAATCTTATCATCTGTTAAGAGAATATGGAGGAAAGAAATGGTCCCAAGGGCCATGGATGTAAGCTTCAAGGGGTCAACATGAGTTCATTGTTAGCAGGAGCTTAAGTTACAAGTCCAGGGAGGGACAGTTACTGTCCATGAAAATTGGCTAGTTGGCCACTTGGCATAGCCCATTGTGGAGGGAGATTATGGGATTCATCTGGATAATGTCCAAAGCTTCGTCAAATTTTTTAGTTTTGTGATATTTACCTGATTCTTTTTTTTTTTTTTTGCGGGGGGGGGCGGGGGGGCCCGGTCGTGGGGCCTGAACTCTGGGCCTGGGCGCTGTCCCTCAGCTCTTCAGCTCAAGGCTAGCGCTCTACCACTTGAGCCACAGCGCCACTTCTGGCTTTTTTTTTTCTTTTTGCTTATGTGGTGCTGAGGAATCAACCCAGGGCCTCCTGCATGCAAGGCAAGTGTTCTACCACTGGGCTACCTTCCCAGCCCTTTATCTGATTCTTTTGATAAATTGTTTATTTTGTTTGCTTTACTCTTGCAGATTTTAGAGGCACTTTTGCAGGTTTTGCATGTCCTTCTGGGAATGTGCCAGGCCTTGGAGATTCAAGAAAAAGGTATGATTATAAATCTTTATCTGTTTTTTTTCTTTCTTTTCTTTCCCATTGCTCTTCCTCTCCTATCTCCTCCCTTCTTTTTCCCTCTCCTTTCACTTGTTCCCTCCCCCCCTCTCCCTTTTCCTTCCCCTTCTTTTCCTGGTTAGTCAAAGAATAACTTCTGTGACTTGTGGGTGGGTTTTTACCCCCTAGTCTTTGCTCTTTTCTCTGGTACCTAATATGCAACTGAAACATGAAAAATTTACATTTGTTATGTACTGAGAGGCTACTTGGGATCTTGTGTACAGTCTGTACACAAATGCCAGGTGCCTTTAGACATAATTTCATTCTTTTGGGTAAAGTATAAGTGGTTTAGTTAATTTCCAAGGGGTATTTTTCCCATTGGTATTTATAAGCTACCAATATGATCCTAGGTAGTCAAGGAACTTGGTAACATGACCCAGCTATATTACTGATTTTAATGTGCCATGAATAGATAAAGACCTCCCAAGGCAAGAAGTTTTGATAGAGAACCAGACTGACATTATTGGTAATAACAGGCTTAAAATGTCATTATGTTAGCCTTCAGGGTTGACCCTCCCTGTTACTTTATCTTATTCTCAGTCTTCAGTGGGTGGGTAGTGAAATGTTAGCCAGCGCCACAGTTAGTACAGTATGACTCTCACAGGTAATTTATCTCCTCCTCTGGTGACATTCACCCTTTATTTTCTAGAATACCTTTGCAAGTATGCAATTCCATGCCTGATAGGAATCTCTCGAGCATTTGGACGTTACAGCAACACAGAAGAATCTCTCCTTTCAAAGCTCTTTCCCAAAGTCCCTCCTCATTCCCTTCGAGTCCCAGAAGAGCTTGAAGGCATTCGAAGGCGTTCCTTCAATGACTTCCGCTCCATCCTCCCCAGCAATCTACTGACAGTCTGTCAGGAAGGCACCCTGAAGAGGAAAACCAGCAGTGTATCCAGCATTTCTCAGGTGGGCCTGGCTCTTGGGATAAGAGCAGGGAGGGAGGATCTTCTTAAGTGCTCATATGAAGAAAATACCACTTGCATATAATTTGAGAAACTAGAATGTGAAAGATTCACTAGAATTCTTTTTTTTTTTAATCTTTTTGTGCCTGTACTGGGGCTTGAACTCAGGGCCTAAAGGTTGTCACTAAGTTTTTTTGCTCAAGGCTAGCACTCTGCCACTTGGTCCACACAGCTCCAATTCTGGCTTTTTGGTAGTTAATTGGAGAAGAGTCTCATGTCCTGGCTGGCTTTGAGCTGAAATCTTCAGATCTCAGCCTCCTGGGTAGCTAGGATTACAGGCACGAACCACTGGCACTTGGCTCTTGTAATATAAAGACTTACTTTAGGGCTGGGAAAGTGGCTCAGTGGTAGAGTGCTTGCCTTGCATGCATGAGGCCCTGAGCTCAATTCCTTAGCACCACATAAGCAGAAAAAGCCGGAAGTGGGCGCTGTGGCTCAAGTGGTAGAGTGCTAAGCTTTAGCTGAAGAGCTGAGAGACAGGGCCCAGGCCCAGGCCCAGAATTCAAGCTCCACAACTGACAAAAAAAAAGAAAAGACTTACTTTGCCCGTTTTTGAAAAAAGAATTTGCTCTATTGTTTGTTTTGTTTTGATTTTTTGAATCAGAGTCTTGCTCTGCTTCATTCCAAGCTGGCCTGGAATTCTTGTGTAGCCCAGGCTGGTCTCAAATTTGTGATTCTCCTGTTTCTGCCTTTTTAGTGCTGAGATTGCAGGTATGTACCACCATGCTTGGTTCCTTTTTAACATTTGTTAATGCTTTCATAGTGTATACCCTATTTGTATACATATCAGAGCAGTTAGGTGCTAAACTGTTCTGAGTAGGAGATAGTTTGTGTTCTTATAAAGTATGTAATTGAACTGGTCACAGTAGCACATGCCTCTATTCCAAGATTTGTGAGTTAGATGCAGAGGCATTGTATGTTTGATGTTCACTTAGACTATAGTAAGACTCTGACTCAAAGAAAACAAAGCAAAACTGAAAGAGAAATAAATAATTGAGAGTTGGGGTGTCAGTGGCAAAGTGATTATTATACAGGAGGAGCTGGGTTGTATCTCCAGCACTGCAAAACAAAGAAAGCTGTGCGCCGGTGGCTCACACTTGTAATCCTAGCTACTCAGGAGGCTGAGATCTGAGGATCATGGTTCAAAGCCAGCCCGGGCAAGAAAGTCTGTGAGACTCTTATCTCTAATTAACCACCAGAAAACTGAAAGTGGCTATGTAGCTCAAGTGGTAGAGCGCTCACCTTGAGCTGAAGAGTTCAGGGATAGTGCACAGGCCCAGAGTTCAAGCCCCACAACCAACAAAAAAATAAATAAAAATAAATAAAAAATTTGACTCATGGAAGAAAGGTAAAAACACTAAGAAAAATTCAAATTCGTCATTATAAATATGTGGTTGACACAGACAATTTTTAATTAGTTTTTTATTGTGAAAATACTGTACGGAAGGGTTACAGTTACATGAGCAAGGTAATGAGTACATTTCTTATCTAGCATTGTTGCCTCCTCCTTTGTTTTTCCCCTACCATCCCTTCCCTCCCACCTCCACAACTACACTCCTTCCCCCACAACTACACCCCCCCCCAACCACACACACAGACTATTCAGCCAGTGGCTCATGCCTGTAATCCTACCTACTTAGGAAGCTGAGATCTGAGGATCACAGTTCAAAGCCAGCCCCAACAGGAAAGTCTATGAGACTCTTATCGCCAATTAACCACCAAAAGTGGTTCTGTGGCTTGCCTTGAGCTGAAGAGCTCAGGGACAGCACCCAGGCCCAGAGTTCAAGCCCCATGACAGACCAAAAAAAAAAAAAAAAGAACGTTGTAACTGTAGTAGGCCTTAGAGAAGAGCCAAGGCTTAAACCAACACTTTCTTTTTTTTGTTAGTCGTGGGGCTTGAACTCTGGGCTTGGGTGCTGTCCCTGTGCTCTTCAGCTCAAGGTAAGCACTCTACCACTTGAGTCACAGCACCACTTCTGGTTTTCTGGTGGTTAATTAGAGATAAGAGTCTCACGGACTTTCCTGGACTTTCCTGCCCAGACTGGCTTTGAACTGCAATCCTCAGATCTCAGCCTTCTGAGTTGCTAGGATTACAGGCTTGAGCCACCTGCGCCCAACACTTAAATCAGCACTTTCTGTATAGTTCTTCGACTGACAAGAAAGAACCTGCTATGAACCTGAGGTCTCACTGACCTTTTCTGATCTATATCTGGCTGTGTGTTGCAGGTCAGCCCAGAACGTGGCATGCCCCCTCCCAGTTCTCCTGGAGGATCTGCCTTTCACTACTTTGAAGGTAGGCTTCATCTCTGCCAAGAACATTGATTTGCTACTTGGATAGTAGGCTCACAGTAATTTCTCATGATTTTAAGGGTACTGATAATTAACTTTCCATTGTCACAGATCTAATAGGTAATGGTTAAACTTTCTCTTTGTTTCTTTCTCTCTCTCCCTCTCTCTTTCTCTCTCTGCATTTCTCCCTCTGTTTCTGTTTTTCTCTCTTTTTCTTCAGTACTGAAGGTCAAACTCAGGGCCTTGTTTTTTCATCTATAAAAATTATACAGGATTGGGAAGGTGGCTTAGTATTAGAGTGCTTGTCTTGCATGCATGAGGCCCTCGGTTCGATTCCTCAGCACCACATAAGCAGAAAAATCCAGAAGTGGTGCTGTGGCTCAAGTGGTAGAGTGCTAGCTTGAATTGAAGAGCTCAGGGACAGCGCTCAGGCCCAGAGTTCAGGCCCCACATTATTCCTAACCACAAAATTACTTCCTACATTCCACAGACTGAGCTTGATTTTTAGAACCATTTATTAATAGTTGAAACTTCTCTCAGTCTACATCTATATTTTGGAATAAATTATTTATGACTTGGGGCTGGGAAGGTGGCTTAGTGGTAGAGCGCTTGCCTTGCATGCATAAGGCCCTGGGTTCCATTCCTGAGCACCACATAAGCAGAAAAAGCCAGAAGTGGCGCTGTGGCTCAAGTAGAGTGCTAGCCTTGAGCTGAAGAGCTGAGGGACAGCACTCAGGACATATTAATTTGAACAAGTGACTGACATGATTAAGACACTATTTTCTCCTTTCTCTCTTAATGTGCATATAGACCAGGGCCTTCTTATATATGTTAGGCAAGTACTCAAGCACTAAGCTATAACCCTAGCTTTCGATTTCTTAAAAATTTAGACATTTTTTTGCTGGTACTAAGGTTTTAACTCAGAACTTCAAGCTTGCTTTGCTTTCTTCCCTGCTCTACCAGTTGAGACAAAACTTCCCATCCAGTTCTTATTGGTTTTTGTTTTTGTTTTTGATAGTACTAAGGCTTGAACTCTGGGCCTAGGCACTGTTCCTTTTTTTTTGCTCAATGCTAGTACTCTACTACTTGAGCCATACCTCCATTTCCAGCTTTTTGGTGGTTCATTGGAGATAAGAGTCTTACAGACGTTTCCTCCCTAGGCTGGCTTTAAAGGACATAGTTGCCAGTCATGGTGGCACATGTCTGTAATCTTAGCACTTGGAAGGTTGAGGCAGGAGGATGGAGAATTGTAGCCTAGCCTTTTCTTTTTTTTTTTTTTTTGTCGGTCATGGGGCTTGAACTCTGGGCCTGGGCACTGTCCTTCAGCTCTTAAGCTCAAGGCGAGTGCTCTACCACTTGAGCTACAGTGCCACTTCCGGTTTTCTGGTGGTTTACTGGAGATAGGAGTCTCACGGTCTCTCCTGCCCGGGCTGGCTTTGAACCACGATCCTCAGATCTCAGCCTCCTGAGTAGCTAGGATTACAGGCGTGAGCCACCAGCGCCCTGCTATAGCCTAGCCTTTTCTATATAGCAAGACTTCTCCTCAAAGAAACAAAGAAGCAAACAGAATGTTGTTATTACTTTGTAGGGAGCTTTAGTAGTGACAAAATACTTTCACATAATTACTATAGTTTATTCAAATGAGTGCCCTGTACCATGTCAAACATAATAAAGTTTTCTCTACCTTATCTTTGAGGGAAATTATGCCCAGATTAAGTGATAGGAAATAAGGAAACAAGAACCCTGTGCTTCATGATATAGTCTAATCCTTTTTTTTTTTTTTTTTGGTCCGGTCGTGGGGCCTGAACTCTGGGCCTGGATGCTGTCCCTCAGCTCTTTAACTCAAGGCTAGCTCTCTACCACTTGAGCCACAGTGCCACTTCTGGCTTTTTTTTTCTGCTTATGTGGTGCTGAGGAATCGAACCCAGGGCCTCAGCAAGCAAAGCAAACACTCTACCACTGAGCCACCTTCCCAGTCCAGTCTATTCCATTTTTGATTGATACTATTTGCTAAAAGAGCATCTCTCAAGAAGATTCTGAGAAGTCTGAGGGGATTTTTTTAATTTAATTTTTTATTATTATAAAGGTGATGTACATAGGGATTACAGTCACATAAATCACATAATTAGTATGTTTCTTGTTGGACAATGTCCCCCCCTTGCTCTCTCCTAGTTTTTCCTCCCATGTGAGAGGAATTTTTGAAAAGGGGTAAGATAGTCTCCAATAGCAAGTGAGCAACTTTGTGTACAGTATCTCTTAAATATGTAAAAGCATAACATGTTGCAGCCTATGTATATATGATAACTAAAGGCTAAGTTCACCCATATGGAAAAGCTCATTTCCTAAGAGAACCTTGCATCCAAGTGTAGAGTGTATCTTTTCTTTGCCACTTGTCTGCCCTCAGGGCATCTAAGGTCAGCTATGAGGACTCATGGCACTATGTACCCCTGTTTTGCCACAACCAGAACTAAACTCACCTTTTGTCCCCTCATAATTGAATTATATAATTTGGTACTGGCTTATTTATAGCTTGATATTTATTTAGTGTTACTTAACGTTGAACTCAGGGCCTCATGCCTGCTGGACAAGTATACTACCACTGAGTTACATCCCCAGCTCTTTATAATTTGAATGAGGGTCTCATTGTATAGGCAGGCTAGTCTTGAATCACTATCCTGCCTTAGCTGAGATTACAGATGTGCACCACTACACCCAGTTGTGGTCAATATAAAAATACTGATTTGATTTATAATGGTAGTTTTCTATCATTTTTGTTGTTGTTAATTTGTTTTGTTCCAGTACTGAGGACTGAACTCAAGAATCTGACTTTTTTTTTTTTGCCAGTCCTGGGGCTTAAACTCAGGGTCTGGGTGCTATCCCTGAGCCTCTTTGTGCTCAAGGGTAGCGCTCTACCACTTGATCTACAATGCCACTTTTGGCTTTTTCTGAGTAGTTAATTAGAGATAAGAGTCTTATGGACTGCCTGGGCTAGCTATAAACCACAATCCTCAGATCTCAGCCTCCTGAGTAGCTAGGATTACAGGTGCCCACCCATTGGCTTAACTTTCTTGCTCAAGCCTGACCCTTTACCACTATTCTAGCCCAGGTGCTTGCTCATAATTGGAAATGAAGTTTTAAGGGCTTTTCTGCCTAGGCTAGATTTGGACCATGATCCTCCTGATTAGCTAGGATTATAGGCATGAGCCATCGTGCTTAGCTTATCAATTATTTGATTTGGGGTTCATATATTAATTATACCAAGGGATTTCATTGTGACATTTCTACACATGTGTTACAGTGTATTCTGATCAACTTCACCCCCTCTGTCACTCTCTGGGTTCATGTTGTTAATAAGAATTTTCTCATTTTTGGGGGGGTGGGGGAGGTTGAATTCAGGGCCTTACCTTTGCTAGGAAGTTACCACTTAAGCCATACCCCAACCTTCTTGATTTACTACTATTTGGGGGGGATGAGGTCTGATTTTTTTTTTCCTCAGGCCAGTCTGGACAGCAGTTCTCCTGTTATAGCTGAGTGGGCAAGTATGCTGCACCATGCCCAGCTATTGGTTGAGATGACATTCAGCTGTTTTTGCTTGGGCTGGCCTCAAACTTATGTGATCCTCCTAATTTCTGCCTCCTGAGTAGTTGGGATCACAGTTGTGACCCCCTCTTAATTTTTTTTATTGTGATATGCCCATCTTAGGTGGGCATATCAGTGGCTCATGCCTATAATCCTAACTACTCAGGAGGCTGGGATCCCAGTTCGAAGCCAATCTAGGCAGGAAAGTCCTGAAAGACTCTTATTTATCTCCAATTAACCACTAGAAAACCAGAAGTGGCACTGTGGCTCAAAGTGATAGAGCACTATCCTTGAGCGAAAAATCTCAGGGACAGTGCCCAGTCCTGAGTTCAGGCCCCACAACAAACAAAAAACAAAAACATGGAATTGAAAGTGTTTGCAAAAGCAAAAATCTATGCCTTTATTGTTTTTAAGGGAAATCCTTTTGAAGAAGTGTCTCTGCAATGTGTGCCCATGTCTTTCTGTTTGTTGTTTTTTACCCAGCCTCTTGCCTGTCAGATGGGATGTCCTTGGAACCTGAATACTACTTCTTCACCATCAGCTCCAGCTTCTCAGTCTCTCCCCTGTTCAATGGTGTCACCTACAAGGAGTTCAGTATTCCACTAGAAATGCTCCGAGAACTCTTAAACTTGGTAAGCAGTGTATTGGTAGATAATTGGACAGTCAAAGAAATTGCAGTATTTTTCTTGAGGCAGCATCAAATTCATAGTTCTTTAGTCTGAACATCATAAGTGCTAGAATTATAGGTGTGTACCACTATTCTGGTAGAGAGAAACTTGGAGTACAGGTTGAATATCTCATTCAAATTCCTTGAGGCTAGAAATTTCATAAATGGGGTCCTGCTATATTGCCAGTCTGATCTCAAACTCCTGAGCTGAACTGATTTTCTTGTCTTAGACTCCTGGGTAGCTGGCTCTAAAAGCACATGTCACTGTACCAACTTATATAATTTTTTAAAATAATTTTTTATGTGTGAGCCATTATGTGAAGCCACTGGATTTTTCTACTTTTGATAACAGATTGGTGCAAAAATGTTTTGGATATTTCAAAGAGGGATATTTTGCCTGTATAATTATTTCCAACTACAATTCAGAAGTCATGAATTAGCAAATTAAAGAAGGAAGGAAGAAAGTATTAGTAGAGCCATAGTGCAGTACCTTTGTAGATAGTCCTCACAGCAAGCATGTCAAGGAGGCTCCAGCAAGCCCATTTAAAAGTAAAGATGTCGGGGCTGGGAAGGTGGCTCAGTGGTAGAGCGCTTGCCTTGCATGCCAGAGGCCCTGGGTTCGATTCCTCAGCACCACATAAGAAAAAAACTGGAAGTGGCGCTGTGGCTCAAGTGGTAGATCGCTAGCCTTGAGCTGAAGAGCTTAGGGACAGCAACCAGGCCCAAAGTTCAGGCCCTACGACCGGACCAAAAACAAAAAAAAATAAAATAAAAAAAATAAAAGTAAAGATGTCAGTTAAGTTTATCAAGGATGAACAAGCCAAGGGTAAGGTTAGAATCTGTCCAACATTCAGACTCCCTTAAGTACAGTGCTTTTCTGTTATATCTGACTCACTATCAGGAGTTGTTCTATTTGGATTAATAAGAACCTAAGATTTTTCTTATTTGAGTGTCTTTGGATGATCTTGAAGTAACATCAGTGAAGGACTGGTATCATTGGCAAAATCTTGAATAGACAGGCATTTGGTCAGATCAAAGGACCTTGAAGTTATTAGGATAAAGCTGGATAGTTCAATATAGGTTTGATTTTTGTTTTTTGTTTTTTAATCCTGAGGATGACACCCTTGCCTTCATACTAGGCAAGCATTTACCACTGAGGTACCTCATTAGCTCAGTATAATACTGAGTAGGCAAGAATGACATTATAAGACTCTGAAGATCATGTACTTTCCAGGCCAGATGCCCATGACCCACACTTGTGATCCTAGCTATTTAGGAGGCTTAGATCTGAGGATCATGGTTCAAAGCCAGCCAAGGCAAGAATGTCCATGAGACTCTTACCTCCAGTTAACCTCAAGAAAACTGGAAGTGGCGCTGTGGCTCAAATGGTAGAGCGTTTGCCTTGAGCTGAAGAGCTCAGGGACAGTGCCCCAAGTTCAAGCCCCATAACCGACAAAAATAAAAAAGAAAGAAAGAAAGAAAAGAAAGATTATGTACTTTCTGTTTTGGAAACTACCAAAAGTGTGGAGCAAGTACTCTAGAGAGCAGCCATCCCAGCTGTGGGTAAGAAAACAAATTACTCAGAGATTTAAGAAGACATTAAAGCCTGGAGGATAGGGTTGAACTATAGCTCAGTAGTAGAGAGCTTACCTAGCATGTGTGAAGCAGTCTAGGCAGGAAAGTCAGTGAAACTCTTATCTCCTATTAACCACCAAAATTCAGAAGTAGAGGTGTTGCTTAAGTAGTAGAGCACCAATCTTGAATAAAAAAGCTATAAAGATATAACCCAGGCTCTGTGTCCAGTCTGGCTTTTTTGCTGATTAACTATAGATAGATTCTCAAGGATTTTTTCTTTCCTGAGTTGGCTTTGAACCACAGTTCTCAGATCTCATCTTCTTGAGTAGCTAGGATTATAGACATGAGCCACTGTTGCCTAGTTTAATTTAGTTGGGTTTTATTTTTTATTTTTGGGTCCGATTGTGGGGCCTGAACTCTGGGTCTGGGCACTGTCCCTCAGCTCTTCAGCTCAAGGCTAGCGCCCTACCACTTGAGCCACAGCGCCACTTCCAGCTTTTTTTTTTGCTTATATGGTGCTGAGGAATTGAACCCAGGGCCTCAAGCATGCAAGGCAAGCACTCTACCACTGAGCCACCTTTCCAGCCCAGTTTTTTTTTTAAAGGCAATTTGTAGTTTCTCTCCTGGTGTATTATCATTATCATTTTGTAAATGACCTTTGTCAAGTAGTACGGTTTCAGAGAGTGGACAATTTATTAAGTCCATTGCTATACTAACTGCTTTACAGAAAAAAAGTGAAAAGAATTACTTCTATTAGAAACTTGGCTGGGCATAGAAGTCCCAACTATTCAGGAGGCTAAGGCAGGAGGATCCTTTGAGCCCAGAAATATGAACCCAGCCTGGGCAACATAGCAAGACCCTATATCTACCTCCTCCCATACATACACAAAGGAAAAAAAGTACAAGTAAGTACATAGGTATTGGGGCTGAGGATGTAGTTCAGTGGTAGAGTACTTACAAGGTTCAGGGTTCTATCCCCAGAACCACCACCACCTGCAGCCCACCCCACACCCAAATAATTTAAGGTGCATAATGTGTGCTGTAGTCTATGTTCCTGGGCAGCTTTGGAAGGACCAGTGTCAGGTCTCTAGGTGGAGACTGGCATCCTAGGTGTCTGAGAATGAACTAGGGCAGGTTTTCCCATAGCTGGATTAACTGAGTGGATGAATGTCAGTGTAGTCTGCAGTCTGAACACTTGAATCCTGGAGATGGAAATCTATCATTTGTGAGTTTGAGGGAGTTGGTTGATTGGTTGGTTTGTAATGTCATTCATACCTAGGGTAAGGAAAGAAATCCTTAGTGATGCTATAATTGTGTGTTATGTATCTATTTTAATTAATATACAAAATATCATTGACCTATCACATTTGGAACCACATGTTTTTGGTTTTCTTTTTAAACATTGGAGATGTAACCTGGGGCCTCTGGCCTCCTATATTCATACTCCACCACTGAGCTATAATCTACCCTGTAAATGTTTTTTGTTGTTGACTATGGGGCTTGAAATCAGGGCCAAGATGCTGTCCCAGAGTTCTTTTTCTCAAGCCTAGCACTCTACCACTTTGAGACTCTCTACCACTTTGAGACACAGTTCCACTTCCTGTTTTCTAGTGGTTAATTGGAGATAAGAGTCTCCTGGATTTTCCTGCCCTGGCTGGCTTTGAACTGTGATCCTTAGATCTCAAGCTCCTGAGTAGCTAGGCTTACAGGCATGAGCCACTAGTGTCTGGCCTGTTTAGGTTTTTATATGTCAACTTGACTTATGCTTTGGTGAAAGGAACTTGTCTCTTTTATTGTGTCATTTACTTCCTTTGTATCCCTGACAGGTGAAGAAGATTGTTGAAGAGCCTGTACTCAAATCCTTGGACGCAATTGTAGCTAGTGTGGTAGAGGTATGTCTCTGCTGAGAACATTAGCACAAGATTAGCTTGACTTTAGCATCTGTAGGGAGAAATCAGGAGTTCATGTGAGAGTTGGATTGGAGGAGTTTTCCGGTGAGTTTTCAATTTATTTTAATGCTAGTCCCATGTAATAGCAACATGCTTGCTCTGCTTGGCTCTTAAATATATCACATCACAGTGTTATTGATTAGTGGTCAGTATCTCCATTTCACAGCTTGAAGGTAGAAGTTCATAGAGCCAACTAATATATTAGCTCACATCAAGGACTGTGGAAGCTAAGAGTCCAGCCTTGGTCTATTTCATCTTCCTTGTCCCTTTGGTGCTTCTAAAGCTGTTTCTCCAGGCTGAGAGCTATACTTTGGAGACACATTCAATGTCTTTCTTTAAGTATAAAGGAATGTATACATCAGGAACTTTTGTCTTTAATATACTTGGAACCAAGGCCTGTAGCTTTATTTATGAAATAATTATAAGTTGGTGCTGAGAAGTCTCAAAATCTCAGTGAAATTCAAGTCTCAAAATCTCACAAGAGCCGGGCACTGGTGGCTCATGCCTGTAATCCTAGCTACTCAGGAAACTAAGATCTGAGGATTCCAGTTCAAAGAGAGCCTGGGCAAGAAAGTCTATGAGACACTTATCTCCCATAAATCACAGAAAAAGCCAGAAGTGGTGCTGTGGTTTAAGTTGTAGAGTACTAGCCTTTAGCAAAAAGAGACCAGGGACAGTACCCAAGCCCAGAGTTCAAACTCCATAACTGGCAAAAAAAAAAAAAAGAAAGAAAAAAGAAAAAGTCTTGAAGATTTGATTGCCTGAGCTTTGAACCTTGATCCTTAATACCTAGAGGATTACATGTCCTCTTTTCATCCAGTGTAAAATGAGTTTTTGTTTGTTTGTTTTTTTGTCAGTCATGGGGCTTGAACTCTGGGCCTAGGCACTGTTCCTCAGCTCTTCAGCTCAAGGCTAGCACTCTGTCACTTGAGCCATAGTGCCACTTCTGTTTTTCTGTGTTGTTTATTAGAGATAAGAGTCTCATCAACTTTCCTGCCTGGGCTGGCTTTGAACTGTGATCCTCAGATCTCAGCCTTCTGAGTAGCTAGGATTACAGGCGTGAGCTATAGGTGTCTGACTCTAAATGAGTTTTAATTTAAAATGTGAGCTGAATCTGAAGTGTCTTGACTGTAGTGTCTCCCTCCAGGGATGAACAGGATTTAATCTCTTGATCTGGTGCCTCTTGGCTGTCTTTTGCTTCCTTCACTTCCCAAGTCCCTGTTAAAGCTGATGATGGTGGGCTGTCAGCAATAGGAAGGTAGTTCTTCCTTTCAGGGTATAGAAGGCTCCTCCTTGTAGCCATTAATGTATTGCATGAACATCCTGCTTCCCTTGGGCTTTTACTTTAGAGGTTGAAGAAAGTAAAATGAGTTACTTCTAGGCTTTTATATATATAAAGCCAAGTACAAGGCCAAGGGCAATCAGAAGAGTTTCTGTTCTTTGATCATTTTTTTTTTTGCAGGCTAACTCCAGTATTGATCTCTATTATACAACCTTCAGTGACCCCCTCTACCTGACCATGTTCAAGATGTTACGTGACACTTTGTACTACATGAAAGGTGAGGAATGCAGGATGTGGAGCTCCCTGGCTGATATCAAAGGCTGGTACTTGCTTTGTGCTGTGGCCCTTAAAAAAAAAAACAGGTGTGAAAGCCAGGAATTCAAGAGTAGCATGGGAATCACAGCAAGATCCCATCTCAAAACAATAGCAAAAACAAACAAAAGTACACATGTGAACCACATTGTCACATGACTTATTTTTTTTGAAGAGGAATAAAAACAAAAACTATCCATGACTTTATGATGATTATATTTTATGACTCTAGTAGATTCTAGTACTGTTAGTGATAGTATAGCTTCTTCAATAGGTTTATTCCTGAGCCATTTTTCTAGCATATACATATTACATTGTTGGACATTTTTTGTGTGTTTGCTGGTACTGGGGCTTGAATTCAGGTCCTGGGTGATGTCCCTAACTTTTTTGCTCAAGGCTAGTGCTCTACCATCTTGAACTACTATAGGATTTTTTTTTTGGCCAGTTCTGAGGCTTGAACTCAAGACCTAGGCACTATTCCTGAGCTTCTTTTGCTCATGGCTAGCACTATACCACTTGAGCCACAGCATCCCTTCTGGCCTTTTCTGTTTATGTGGTACTGAGGAATCAAATCCAAGGTTGTATGCATGCTAGGCAAGCACACTACCACTAAGCCACATTCCCAGCCCCTACAATAGGATGGATCTTGAGATTGCCCAGGCTGGCTTCAAACGTGATCCTCAGATTTCAGCCTCCTGGATTACAGGTGTGAACCACTGGTACCTGGCCTATGGTTTTTTTTTTTTAATTAATTTTTTTAAAAAGTTGTCCTATGTAAAGGACTTTTCATTTGGTCACCTCCTAGTCCTTTCTCTGCCCTGCTAACAGAGCTCTTAGTTCCCATACCCTGTGAACCCATCCAAAGATATCACTGACCTCCATTTTAGAAGACCTAGTTTCTGGCTCCTTTTTCTAGCCTCCTGTATCTCTTCCTGATTTAAGCCACCCCTTCTCAGATTTCCTGCATTCGTTGATCGTCTTCTTGCCCTCTGGCTTCCATGGGGTTAGTTTTGTGACCATCTCTTCATTAAGTTCTCTGTTATTTTTGTTTTGTTTTGTTTTTTGAGATAAGGTCTCCTTATGTAGTTTACACTGGCCTTGAACTCAAGGGATCTCCTCTTAGCCTTCTAAGCACGAAGACCACAGGCACATACACTTATGGATGTAGTTTATACATGCTCAATGTAGATATTTTAGAAAATAAAAAATAGAATGATGCATTCAAAATGTTTAAACTCAGAAACAATCTTAATTGTTTCACATTTATAAACATGTACATTTTCCTTTGTGCAAATTTGTTTTCCTATGTTCTTTCCTCATGCCATTAAATTTTTTCATAAACATATCCTATCATGTAGGTATATCATTATCATAATCTAATTCAGAGGGCTCCTAGGAAACTGTCAGGGTCACAGCAATTAGGGTTTGGGTTCACTTAGGAGAGATGTTAACAACAGCCCAGCTTGGCCTGACTTCTGGGAGCTTCCAAGTCCTCCTGCCTGTGCTGTGTGTTTCTGACTTCCTCTATTGGCCTGACTTAGGCCTGTTACAATGATGCTCTTGAATCTCCTAGACCCCATAGATGAGAGTTTGGAAAAATCTATAAACTTGAATCAATATTCTAACAATCTAGAGAATTCTTTTCTCATTGCACCCACTTTTTACCTTTGTTTTTTCTTTTTTGTTTTGCTTTTTGTCGGTCATAGGGCTTGAACTCTGGCCCTGGGTGCTGTCTCTCAGCTCTTTCAGCTCAAGGCAAGCATTCTGCCACTTGAGCCACCACGCCATTTCTGGTTTTCTGGTGGTTTGTTGGAGATAAGAATCTCACTTTCCTGCCCGGGTTGGCTTTTGAACTGCAATCCTCAGATCTCAGCCTCCTGAGTAGCTAGGATTACACTGGTGCCCAGCTTTTTTGCCCTTGTTATATAACTAGCCATCTTTTTTTCTTTTTTCTTTTTGTGGGTCCTGGGGCTTGAACTCAGAGCCTGCGTACTGTTCCTTAGCTTTTTTACTCAAGTCTAGAGCTGTACCCCTTGGTCCACAGCTCTACTTCCAGCTTTTTTGGTAGTTAATTGGAAATAAGAATCTCACAGACTTTTCTGCTCTGGCTGGCTTTGAACCATAATCCTCTGATCTGAGTCTCCTGAGTACCTAGGATTACAGATGTGAGCCACCTATGCTGGTCTCTGGCCATCTTTAAATATATATCTCATTATGGAGTTTTTTCAAATTGTAAATTAAACCAATTCCATTGATGACATACATCTCTTATGTATTTCAGATATTCAAGTTTTAGTATATGACTGCTTAAAGCATGTGAGCTAGGAAGGCACTGGTGGCTCATGGCTATAATCCTAGCTACTCAGAAGGCTGAGACATGAGACTCTTATCTCCAATAAACTAACTCCTCCTCCCAAAAAAGCCAGAGGTAGAGCTGTGGTTCCAGTGATTGAACTAGTCTTGAGCAAATAAAGCTCAGGCCCTGAGTTCAGGACTGGCACCAAAAAAAAAAAAAAAGAAAAGCACGTGAGTAACTATAGCTCAATAGAGCACTTGTATGAAGCCCTATGTTTAATGCCTAGCATCCAAACAACAACCACAAAAAGAAGCATGGTTCTGACTTCCTTGGGAAATTATTTTATCTAATTTCTAGGTACTATGCATATAGAAAACTAGCCAATCTGCCTATCCACACTCTTCAGTGTTCTTGGAGCCACATTTTGTTAGAGAAAGATCAATGCCATTGATCTGGCACAGTGTTCTGTTGAAGTTTTATTTCTAGCTCTGGCCATCCTTCTTTTCCACAGACCTTCCCACCTCCTTTGTGAAGGAGATACATGATTTTGTGCTGGAACAGTTCAACACAAGCCAAGGAGAGCTCCAGAAGATTCTTCATGATGCTGACCGGATCCACAATGAACTGAGTCCCCTCAAGCTGCGCTGCCAGGCAAATGCTGCTTGTGTGGACCTCATGGTATGGGCTGTGAAGGATGAACAAGGTAGGTTGCCCGCCTGTTGTATTGCAGACAGCCAAGATTGTCTTTGTCCTGTGAGCTCCAGGGATACTTTCTTCCCGTGAGGTTCCCAAAGTGACTTCTGGAATACTTGCCTATTTCCAGCATAGACAATCATAATGAGTGGCCATTTCCTAAGCACTTGCAGCATCAGGTCCTGTGATAGCTTGGACATTTGCTGTCCTGTGCTATGGTAGAGAACACTGGATCTAAGAAGAGGGAAAGGCCAAAGCCACAAGGTCTGTGTTTTTTCCAGTGCTTCTTGCTGGTTCTTTAGGCTTCCCTATGGAGAAATAGAAGCTTAAAGCTGGAAGGTCAGGGATTTGTCCAAGATTAGAGAGAAATGGGAAGCATTCTGCAGAGTGAATACTGTGGGACAAGAAGACTTAAGGCTAACAGAAGACAGTTGTACACAGTGCAGTACACAATGCCTGCCTCTAAGCCACCTGTTGCATAGCCTCTCCTGTTAATAAACCTGCAACAGGTGTTTCTCTGGGGTTGTGTGAGTAGCTATGAGAAGGTATTTTGTGAATATTGGACTCTGCTAACCTTTTATACCCCTCTCTAATTTTGAACTAAGGTGCAGAAAATCTTTGCATCAAGCTTTCTGAAAAGCTGCAGTCCAAGACATCCAGCAAAGTCATCATTGCCCATTTGCCCCTCCTTATCTGCTGCTTGCAGGTTAGTGTCTCTGGTGTTTGAGATTCTTGATTCCCAAGCATGAGATGTCTTTCTTGCAATGGTGTTCTGGTTGTGGTTGGTCCTTCAGCAATGAGTCTAATGTGGACTCTGGCCATTAAGTGAACATGGGCTCCCTCTTTAGGACATTGGAGTTTCTGCAAGTGGTATCCAGGCTACTTGCCTTGAAGAAAGCATCAGTTCCTGCTCTGTTGTGAGACTGCCCTGCATGTTCTGGGCACTTCTTGAGGCCAGCAGAAGGGCTAGATACCATGAGACATCATAAGCCATAGGGCCTTATGAGAAAATGTATTTTGTCACAGTTCTACTGTGTGTTCCTTGACATAGTTCCCACTAACTCCACACTGGCCATTGCTTAACAAGCACATTTTATACTTTGTTTCCCAAAGAAGTAAACACATTTAACAGTCTATGTCCTGCGTAAGGAAAAGTCAGCATCATCTCCCTGCTTGCCTTTGCTTCTTAGACAGGCAGCCTCTGGGAGCTTTGACTTTAGAAGTTTTGATCAAACTTGGACATGAGAAGGGTTGAGGTTCTCACTGTTCAGGGTCCCTCCTGGGCTACATAATGGTTGATGGTGTGTTGCAGGGTTTGGGCCGCCTGTGTGAGAGGTTCCCAGTGGTGGTACACTCAGTGACACCGTCCTTGAGAGACTTCCTGGTCATCCCATCCCCAGTGCTGGTGAAGCTCTATAAATACCACAATCAATACCATACAGGTAGGTAATAGAAGACTGCATCTGAAGTTTGCATTCAGCATTCAGTCCCTGTGTGTTCTTGGTGACTATACTTGGGCAAAATTCCTCCTCCATGCCTTTCCTTCTGTCTTTCCCTTTAGGTTCCCCATTTCAAGCTATTAGGCCTTACTTCTCTACTTTCCCACTGAAGGCTCCTTTTTTGGTCTTTTGTCACTGTAGTAGTCTGTGAATACTGTATACCTCAGTGTCTGTTTGGGAGCTTTATATATACAACCTCATCTGGTCCCCTTTACTATCAAGAAATTACTGATTTTACCTATTCACCCCTTTATCATCTATTCATCCTTTTAATTTAACACATTCCTTCCAACCTTTCTTGTTGGTCTTAGAATTTCTCTTTTAGAAATGTTTGGTCAGATGTTTTGAGAATGCTTTGTTTTTATTTTTTTGGCAGTATTGGGATTTAGTGAACCAGGCTCTCAAGCTTGCTGGGCAGATGTTCTACCACTTGAACTATTCCCCCTGTCCTTAGAGTGAATGCATGCTTTTTACAAGGTTAAAAGTACTTTGTTTTTTAAAAAAAATATTTGTTTTTTTTTGAGTGACAGAGAAAGGGGATGGAAAGGTAAAAGCCAAATCAGACACAGGTTTGAATTTTTACATCTAGTTGCTGGCAATGATATAAAAATCAGTGTCACCAATGAGCATTCTGAATCAACCCTGAATGTCATGTCGGGCAAGAAGAGCCAGCCGTCCATGTATGAGCAGCTCCGGGATATTGCCATCGACAACATCTGCAGGTAGGAGACTGAATAGAGGGAGACCTGTTCTGGAAAGGGAGAAAAGTGTTTTAGACAGATTTATTTTAAAATAAGGATGTTTGTAAGTCTTAAAGTTTGTTTCTGATCATTTTAAAGCATGATCTAAAAGAGAAATTATTGGATTTTTTTTCTAATAAAACTCCCAGGAAGTGGCGGTGTGACTGAGTTCAAGCCTCTGTACCAGTACCTTAAATAAATTAATAAGCAAAGCTTTCTTTGTTTTCCTGGTCATAAAAATAGCCAAAAAAATGAGCTGGGAATATGACTTACTGGTAGAGTACTTGCCTAGCATGCATGAAACCCTGGGTTTGATTCCTCGGTACCACATAAACAGAAAAAACCAGAAGTGGCACTGTGGCTCAAGTGGTAGAGTGCTAGCCTTGAGCAAAAGGAAGCTCAGGGATAGTGCCCAGGCGCTGAGTTCAAGCTCCAGGACTGGCAAAAAAAAAAAAAAAAGAAAGCAAAATAACATCCAAAAGAATAGGTTATCATATTTTCTTTTTCTTTTTTTGTCATGTTTTCTTTTAATACATGAGAGAGAAGGTTTTTTGTTTTTGTTTTTGCTGGTCTTAGGCTTGAACTCAGGGCCTGGACACTGTCCCTGAGCTCTTTTGCTCAAGGCTAGTGCTCTACCACTTTGAGCCACAATTCCACTTCCAGTTTTTGAGTGATTCATTGGAGATAAGAGTCTCATGGGAGAGGGCTGGGATGTAACTCAGTGGTAATGCGCTAGCCTAGCAACTGCAGCATCCTAGATTCGATTCCCCAGTACCAAAAAAAAAAATCTGAATAGAATTTGGGGATGGGGGTGGGAGATCATCGGAAGGGGAAACAAAGGAGAAATGTACTCATTATCTTGCCCATGTAATTGTAACCCCTCTATACAGTATTTTCACAATTAAAAAAAAAAAGAGAATCTCATGGGTGCTTATCTGCCTGGGATGGCTTTGAACTGAGATCTTCAAATTTCAGCCTCCTGAGTAGCTAGGATTACAGGCATGAGCCACCAGCATGCTGTGAGAGAGATTTTTTTTTTAACTTTTTTTTATTGAATACTTTTTGTTTTTTAGATTCTTACTGTGTGAACTCTTGATCTCTCAATTTGAGATTCAGATCCTTTTCTGTTGTTTGTTAGTTTCACTGGGTCTTGACTCTAAATCCTCCTGCCCCAGCCTCCTTTGTGCTAGGATTACAGTTATACAACATCGTGCTTGGCTAGAAAGCCAGATACTTTGATTCTATGAAAATTTGTTTGTTCTTTTTAATTCTTTTTAGCTTCTTTTAGAAGCTAAATAGGAACAATAACTTAATCTCACTCAGAAACCAAACAGATAAGGGAGAGTGAGACATAGCTTGTGAGATTTTATTTTCTTAGAGGTTTTAAAATTGTTCCTTTTTTCTATAGAAAGCGTAAGCATTACTGTTAACTATTAGAACCTTGATGTAGGGACTAAAGGTGTGTAACTCAGTGGTAGACTATATATGTTTAGTGTTTATAAAGGCCTCAAATTCAGTCTCAGCATCGAAACTAATAACAACAGCAGCAAAGCCCATGATATATAAGTGTAGTGTTCCCTCCACTGTCTTAGGACCATCTGTCTTTTAAATCAATCAGTGTGACTTTGTTAAAGAATAGCAAAGGGGCTGGGCGTTTGTGGCTCATGCCTGTAATCCTAGCTACTTAGGAAGCTGAGATCTGAGGATCACAGTTCAAAGCCAGCCTGGGCAGGAAAGTCTATGAGACTCTTATCGCCAATTAACCACCAGAAAACTGGAAGTGGCACTGTGGCTTCAAGTGGTAGAGTGCTAGCCTTGAGCTGAAGAGCTGAGAGATAGCGCCCTGGCCCAGAGTTCAAGCCCTACAACTGAGCAAAAAAAAAAAAAAAAAAAAAATTAAAGAGTATTTAAAATTGGACTGAGACTGAAATTGATATTTCTTCAGATCAGTCAAAATAATGTAGTGGTTATCTCTGGCTTGATATTTTTCAAATGAGCAAAATCAGCAGCAGTTCTTTGAATTTTTTCTATATAATATTTTACTCAGATTTTCAGGATATTTACTTCTAAGCAATTCTTTAAATGTTGTTGATTTGAGAAAAGGAAAAGAAAAAACAAAACAAAAAAGCCCTAATCTCATTGTTTTGATGCATGATGGACTTCCTCTCTGCTTAGATGCTTGAAGGCTGGCTTGATGGTGGACCCAGTGATCGTGGAGGCTTTCCTGGCCAGCCTCTCCAACCGACTCTACATCTCCCAAGAGAGCGACAAGTATGTTCCTATTTCTTAGAGCAGCCAGTTACTTTTAGCAGGCTCAGGTAGTGTACCTTGCATCATGCATGTTGGATTTTTTTCCTCATCACAGAGAGTAGGCCTATTGTGTTTGTCACAGGTTTAAGGTGGAACCTACCTCAGAATGTACATTCTTGACTACTGCATGAGAGTTGAGAAAGATCTTTGTCCTCCAACCTAGTACCCAGGGCTTTGTGTTTCTGCTGGTGGTTAAAGCTCCTGGCTGTCATTCAGATGAATTCTTCATCAAGGCTGTGGGGAAATCAAGGTCTAGAGGTAGCCTCTGAGTTTTATTTTGCTACTGCCTACCAGAAGACTGTGCGTAAAGTGCCTATGTCCTTACCTCCTATTTCTCTTACAGGGACGCTCACTTGATTCCTGACCACACCATCCGAGCCCTGGGACACATTGCAGTGGCACTTAGAGACACTCCAAAAGTAATGGAGCCAATTCTGCAGATCCTGCAGCAAAAATTCTGTCAGCCCCCTTCACCCCTTGATGTGCTCATCATTGACCAACTGGGCTGCCTTGTTATCACTGGCAATGTAAGGAAAAGGGTGCTGTAATTAGGCCAGAACCGTGCAACTCACTAGTCCTGATTAGACCTTGTTAATCCCCTTTCACTAGAAATGTACAATTACAGATTAGATTTACCTTATAACTGACCCAAATGATCACAACTATTTCACTGCTATATAGTAAGAGTGATGTAATAGTTTTACTTGTGCTAGGATAGAAAATGTTTAAACTAATTTCATGTCATATAAATAGCATAAAATAGGAACTAAGTCAAAGCTACTTCTCTTTTAGTGTGCGTACATGCACACGTGTGCACCACACATGCCAGTACTGGGGATTGAACTCGGGACCTAGTCACTGTCCCTTAGCTTTTTATACTCAAGGCTAGTGCTCTACCACTGAGCCATACCTCCACTTCTGACTTTTTGGTGATTAATTGGAGATAGGAGTCTCACCGACTTTTCCTACCCAAATGACTTTAAACTATGATTCTCAGATTACAGCCTCATGAATAGCTAAGATGGTAGGCATGAGCATGAGCCACTGGTGTTGGGCCCTTTTAACTCTTACTTTGGGTTCTCCCTTTCCTTCCTTCCTTTCTCTCTTTCTTTCTCTCCTTTTCTTTTCTTTTTTCCTCTGTTGGTCATGGGGCTTGAACTCTGGGCCTGGATGCTGTCCCTGAGCTTTTCACCTCAAGGCAAGTGCTCTATCAAGAGTCTGACGAACTTTCTTGCCCAAGCTGGCTTTGAACAGCAATCCTCAGATCTCAGCCTCCTGTGTAGCTAGGATTACAGGCTTGAACCACTGGTGCGTGGCTTTGATGGTCTTTGATAGCCTGGGATTCTGAGCTTTCCCTTTGGGTGATGACAAGAGGGTCTTCTCCATGTTTCTAGGATGGACATGTGGAGTCACAGCTTGGTGACAACACTTTTTGCTCTCTTCTAGCAATATATTTATCAGGAAGTGTGGAATCTCTTCCAGCAGATCAGTGTGAAGGCCAGCTCAGTTGTATATTCAGCCACCAAGGATTACAAGGACCATGGCTATAGGTAATTTTTCTGTACCTTCTTATCACCTCAAATCCTGACAGTATTTAACTCCTTTGAGAATGTATGGTTTTGGAATTAGGTCTTTTTTTTTTTTTTGTCAGTTGTGGTGCTTGAACTCACGGCCTGCGCGCTTTCCCTGAGCTCTTTTGCTCAAGTTTAGTGCTCTATCACTTGAGGTATAATGCCACTTCCAGTTTTCTTGTGGTTAATTAGAGATAAGAGTTTCATAGACTTTCTTGCCCAGGCTAGCTTTGAACAACGATCCTCAGATCTCAGCCTCCTGAGTAGCTAGGATTACAGGCATGATCCACCAGCGCCTGACTCTGAAATTAGTTTGTTTGATTTTTTGTGGGGTTTTTTTTCTGATTCTGGAGCTTTAACTCAGGGCCTGAGCTCTGTCCTCTCTGTGCTCAAGGCTAGTGCTCTATTACTTGAGCCACAGCACTATTTCCAGCTTTTTCCGTTTATGTGTTATTGAAGAATCGAACCCAGGGCTTCACAATGCTAGGCAAGCACTCTACCACTAAGCAACATTCCCAGCCAAAATTAGTTGTTGTTGTTTTTTAAATAAACTTTTCTTCTTATGAAAACTATATGCTACAAATCAAGACAGGAGATGAAAACCCACATATGACTGTCACCTAAAGCTAACCACTATATATCTCAGTGAGCATGGCTCAAGTTTCTCCCCCTTTCTTTTGAACAGGCACAATCTGCGCACATAATTGGCCTTCATGGAGCAATGTGGTCATAGATTGTTTTTGCATATTACCTTTAATGGCTGTGTAGTTTGCTGTAAATGTGGCTTAATGGTAGAGTGCTTGCCTAGTATGTATGAGGCCCTTGGTTCGATCTCTTAGTACCACATAAACAAACAAAAGTCTTTAATGCCTGGTGCCAGTGGCTCATGCCTGTAATCCTAGCTACTCAGGAGGCTGAGATCTGAGGATTGGTTCAAAGCCAGCCAGGGCAGGAAAGTCCGTGAAACTCTTATCTCCAATAAACCACTCAGAAAAACCAGAAGTGGCGCTGTAGCTCAAGTGGTAGAGAGTTTACCTAGAGCTGAAGAGCTGAGGGACAGTACCCAAGCCCAGAGTTCAAGACCCACCACCACCACCAAAAAAAAAAAAAAAAGAATCTCATGGATCTTCCTGCCTAGGCTGTCTTGTAACTGGGATCCTCAGATCTCAGCCTTCTAAATAGCTATGATTACAGGCATGAATATTCTTTTATAGCCTATATTTGTACAAAGTCTGGCCAGTTTATCCTGGTAGATACAAAAATAATTCCTTGCCGAGTGCTGGTGGCTCACAAAATCCTAGCTACTCAGGAGGTGAGATCTGAGGATCATGGTTCAAAGCCAGCCTGGGCAGGAAAGACTGTGAGACTCTTGTCTCCAATAAACCACCAGAAAACTGGAAGTAGCGCTGTAGCTCAAGCAGTAGAGTGCTCGCCTTGAGCTGAAGAACTGAGGGATAGTGCCCAAGCCCAGAGTTCAAGCCCCATGACCGACCAAAAAAAAAAAAAAAACCAACTTCCTTGTCTTTTCCTTGCCCTTTCCTGGGAATGCTTTAAGCAAGGGACAAGTTCCTATATGTTTGGAGGATTCACAAGAGTATGTCAGATCAATGGAAGAGAGAGAGGGAAAGTCAGACAACAGGAGGTTGGTGTAGAGAAGAAGAAAGCACTTTTGTTGGAATTTGTTTCTGGTCACTGGAGTCCTTTTTTCTTTAAATCCAGGTATTTTTCTCAAATTCTCTCCAAGTCAATTTAGTAAGAAAGAATACCATGGCATAGCCTTAGAAAGGCTTAACCTCTCTGTGTCTCAGTTTCCTTACTTGCTAAAGAGCACCTGTCTCTAGTTGTGTGGATGTGAGTATGTGTATGTGAAAGTTCTTGATCATTCTGAGTTCTTGGCATTATCATACAATTGGACCTCCTCTTTCATAGTTGCAGCATTCTCCAGGTTCAACCATCTATAGATTGAGACTATTTGGGGGAAAAAAGCCTGAATCTATAATGACTTTTTTCTTGCTATCATTCATACAATACAGCTAAAGAAGAATAAGATTAGCTGGGTGCTGGTGATGCCTGTAATCCTAGCTACTCAGGAGGCTGAGATCTAAGGATCACAGTTCAAAGACAGCCTGGGCAGGAAAGTCCATGAGACTCTTATCTCCAATAAACTACTCAAAAAAAAAAAAAAAAGACAGAAGTGGTGCTGTGGCTCATGTAGTAGAGTACTCACCTTGAGCAAAAGAAACTCAGGGACAGTGCCCAGGTCCAGAGTTCAAGCCCCAGGACTGGAAAAAGAAAAAGAAATTAAGATTGATTGGAATATGTTATATAAATATGAGGAAATGTCACAATGAGACATTTCTTGTATAACTAATGAATGTTAATTTTAAAAAAGAACAATTTTTTCAAGGCCAAACATGATGGTACACTCCTGTAATCCTACCACTTAGGAGGCTAAAATAAGAAGATTGTGAGTTTGAGTTTAGACTGAGCTCAAGGCCAGCCTAGGCCATATAGGAGACTCCAAATAATAATAATATTATAGGTAATCTAAAGATTATTCAAATTATTTGGGAAAATTACATAGGTTATATGCAAATACCACATAGGCTTATTTATTTTAATTTTGTTGTAGTTTTAGAGACAGAGTCTTGCTATGTAGCTCATACTACCCTTAAATTTTCAATCCTCCTGTTTTAGCCTACTAAGTACTGATTACCACATACACCACCATGCCTGGCTGCCACACTATTTTTTTTTTTTTGCCAGTCCTGGAGTTTGAACTCAGGGCTTGGGTACTGTCTCTGAGCCACAGTACTACTTCTGGCTTTTTCTTTCTTTTTTGGGACCGGTCGTGGGGCCTGAACTCTGGGCCTGGGCGCTATCCCTCAGCCCTTCAGCTCAAGTCTAGCACTCTACCACTTGAGCCACAGTGCCACTTCCGGCTTTTTTTT